GAACACACGGTTCGGAAAAAACATCAATTCCAACTTCTCAAGTGACTAGATGCGTGCACAGTATCACGAACTTAAGCATTGATATCAATCAATAAACTGTTCCACCCCCGAATCATGAATATGGATGAGGATATTTTTGTGAGCGTTCATAATGTGCATTGCAACGCAAGTTTTATTTTTATCTTTAATCAAATGCACATTAGCATCAGATCGTCGGTCCACGTTTTAAAGTGTCTATGGCTGCTGGGTCATTGTATCTCTCACTACGGACATCAAACAACCTTCTGTACTGAGAGGGATCCATAATAGACTATGTGTTTTTTGGTTAGATCGCGTAAATATAAATGTGGCGTTAAACCCGCCACCACCCAACACAGCCAATTAGTTAGGCTTTTCACGTAAACAAAACTCGCCAATTAGTTGATTCTTCAGCACACCAATGTGTTGGAGAGTAAACCCACGAAATTGTAACTTTATAACTGTACATTTTGGCAAATTTAACACAAAAATACCCGCAAATTACTCGATTCGAATGAACAGAGCAATGCCTCACCGCCTAGTGAGGACACCTAGATGGAGCCTCTTGAATAATCCGTGAGCCTTTCCTGGGTAAACAATCGTAACAACAACAATAATGATAATACGTTAATAATATTTTTTTGAATTGTTATTGAGGTGTGTGTGTGTGTGGTGTTTAACGCCATTGACAGAGGGCCTTGAACAACTGTTATAATTAGCATTTGAAAAAAAAAATCTAAAGCCTCCTAAACATCCGCTGGGACCATTGAGTGCAAATACGTCGGCAATTAGTGAAGCTTCTAAAGACGAAGAAGGTTAGACACGTGGCTGAGCAGAGCATCGGCAGGCGGTGGGGCACTGAAACCCCGCGGTGGTGGAGTGAGAGGGGGGGGCGGGCAGTGCCGGGGTGGGGGTCGAGATGGAACTAGGTACAGCGGTCGGGAACCTATGGCTCCAGAGCCATATATGGCTCTTCCGGTGACGGCATATGGCTCCCAGACAATTTTTGAGTTGAAAAAAAAAATCAGTTTGGAACTGATTTTAAAATACTTGTGATATTGCTTAATAGTACTGTGTCATTTTAAAGTAAACAGAAATTAGTTTTGAAGATACATTTCACGGGTCACGCCTGCATGAAGCTCAACCTCACCACGTATGAACCAGACTACAAGGCCATCAGCAAAACCATGCAGGACCAGAAGTCGCATTAAAAGTAAGACATATTTAATTTATTACACGTTAAAAATACTATATGGCTCTCAATGAAATATATTTAGAAATATTTGGCTTTTATGGCTCTCCCAGTCAAAAAAGGTTCCCGACCCCTGAACTAGGAGATGCCGAGGTGCATCCACGCTGTGTCCTCGCTTAGCGCGCGGCGGATGTGTTCACACTACAACGCGGTTTCGCTGTAACGCCGTTCTTCCAGGAGGGAACTACTTTTCGCGCGGAACGTTCACCGTTATAACGTGGGACGTCTACTGTTATAACGCGGTTTCTGAGCGGTCGACGAAGAACTACTTTCATGAGCTGCACGGCTGAGTGGTGTGATACAGTACACGGACAGATACAGTAACGCAGAGTGATACAGTAACGCGGAAACGTACCCTCAGTTACGTGTCCCGCCATCTCACTGCGTGTGCGTAGTTGCGGTAATACATTGCATCTTGCCAAACTTTATCGTTACATCATTTATGGAGATCTTGTTTTCGCTTAATGCGTTTTCGCTTAACGAGCTCAACAAGAACCTACTGTCAGTTATTTACTGACAAGTTCACGATTATCATTTCTGGCACCTTCCATGCCCAAAAAATCAAGTGAAACGCATTTGCGAAGGTGCATGAGATTATAGTTTCCACCTGTCCAGGTGTGGCTTGGTCCCAATCCGGGAATTGGCATCTGTGTCCGGGTGGCAGGACTCGACCTGGACCGAGATCCGATCCCGGCATCGTCGTGGTGAACTTCATTGGAGGACACTGCACAGCTTTAGTAATACATCTAGCGTGAGTGAGACACGTGTCCGGGTTTAGGTCTGCAGTGGTGAAAGGTGGCAACGCCAGCAAGAGCTGCCGTGCCGCTAGATTTATCAACGTGGAGCAGCAACGTTCAGAAGCTCTCGGCCTTGTCTAGATCACCGGCTCAAAAGAACTGAACGTGCGGCTCGGCGAGCTGCCAAAATGCGGCTCATCGCAAAGCAGGCGGCGGCGGAGAGACGCGGCCGCCGACGGGTTTCGTTCTCATTTGGGACTCGTCAGCAATGGAGCCACCGATCTTCTTGGTTCTTTCGGTAAAGTCACGTAGAATGGAAATAATGAAATAATAAAAATAAAACATGATAAAATAGTTCTCACGACGTTTCGGCCACAACGCAAGCAGCCGTCCTCAGGTGGAGAGCAGGTCTGTCGAGTAGACTAGTGTTGGTAGTGGGTGTTGAGTAGTCTACTCGACAGACCTGCTCTCCACCTGAGGACGGCTGCTTGCGTTGTGGCCGAAACGTCGTGAGAATTATCTTATTATGTTTTATTTTTATTATTTCATTATTTACATTCTACGTGGTGACTTTACCGAAAGGACCAAGAAGATGAATCCCTGCAGTCACGAAAGCTTTAAATCGGAGCCACCGATGTTCACCGCCGCCACCTGCCCCGTGTATACGGAGCGGGTCGTTGCCCGTTCACGATGGAATAGGGTGCTCATTAGCACTCGCCTGAAGGCGGCGATGATCGCCGTGTCAACGTAGAGCCGTGCGTCATCCGCTTCGTAGCTGGTGGCGGTGCGGTGTTGGTGATGGTGGTGTGGTGTTGGTGGTGGGTGTTGGTGGTGGTGGTGCAGTGTTGGTAGTGGGTGTTGGTTGTGCGGTGTTAGTGGTGGGTGTTGGTGTTGGTGGTGGTGGTGGGTGTTGGTGTTGGTGGTGGTGGTGGGTGTTGGTGTTGGTGGTGCGGTGTTGGTGGTGGGTGTTGGTGGTGGTAGTGGTGGTAGTGGTGCGGTGTTGGTAGTGGGTGTTGGTGGTGGTGGTGGTGCAGTGTTGGTGCTGGGTGTTGGTGGTGGGTGTTGGTGGTGGTGGTGGTGCAGTGTTGGTGCTAGATGTTGGTGGTGGTGCGGCGCTGGTGGTGCGGTGTTGGTAGTGGGTGTTGTTGGTGCGGTGTTAGTGGTGGGTGTTGGTGGTGGTGGTGCGGTGTTGGTGGTGGTGGTGGGTGGGTGGTTGTGGTGGTGTGGTGTTAGTGGTGGGTGTTGGTGTTGGTGGTGCGGTGTTAGTGGTGGGTGTTGGTGGTGGTAGTGGTGGTCCGGTGTTGGTGGTGGTTGTTGGTGGCGCGGTGTTGATGGTGCGGTGTGTAAAACGCCAGCACTCGGGGGAGATAAACGTGGCCGGTGGTGGTGCTTTGCCGTACCAGCGCTGCGTGGGCCGTATGCCACTCAATAGCTGCTCGCTGACAGATCTTGCCGCAGCAGCCAAGAAGGCTGTGCGGAGGCGGGGAGGGGGATATCCATTCTTACACGTGTGTTGATACACACACGTGTGTGCGTGTGTGTGTTTTCATACACACATGTGTGTATGAACACACACACACACGTGTGCACGTGTGTGTGCGTGTGTTCATACACACATGTGTGTGGCGTGCATGCGTGTGTGTGGAGCACATTTGTCGCATTAGGTGTCGAATGAATCAATATTCTCGAGTGTGTGGAGCATATTGCTGAACACAACAGATATCCGTTGCTATTTGTCAGCGGCAATGGTGGAAAAAAAAATATCCACTCTCTGGTACATCGATTCCCTTGCAAAAAAGGCCATTGCCACGTTTTTTCCTCTCTTTTTCCGAAATAACATTGCCAGGAAACGCGAGATGGCAAATCTTAAATTGTAACACACGAGGAGATTTCATATACAAAGAGAAATAAGGCAAAGTGAAATGGATGTGTCTTTTACGTCTGCTTTGCTTTTCACGAGAGAAAGAAAGGAACGAATTCAAATAAATAGCCACACCGTGATAAGTGCTTTCGGAAAATAAATGCGCCGATGTGTCGTCCAGAACATCGTTGTTTAATCACCGCGCACTGGCTGCTAAGACATCTGGACGTATCTTCTTGGTTCTTTCGGTAAAGTCACGTAGAAGGGAAATAATAAAATAATAAAAATAAAACATAATAAAATACAATTCTCACGACGTTTCGGCCACAACGCAAGCAGCCGTCCTCAGGTGAAGAACAGGTCTGTCGGAAAGACAGTGTCTGAAAGGACGGCTGCTTGCATTGTGGCCGAAACGTCGTGAGAATAATTTTATTATGTTTTATTTTTATTATTTTATTATTTCCCTTCTACGTGACTTTACTGAAAGAACCCAGAAGATGAATCCCTGCAGTCACGAAACCTTTAAATCGAAATATATGGACGTATGTTGAACTCATCTCACAACGTACGTGAGCCAGCCGTGTTGATCGGAGGTGGCGGTCATCTGTGAGCCGCGGAATGGGGGATCACATCTCGCCACGGGACAAGATGTTGACTACCTCGCGCGGTATACAGGAGGTCGTGGGTTCGATCCCGACCCTGACGCCTTTATATTTGGAGTTTGCGTGTCTCTCTCCCCATTGCTGCGCAGATTGTTGTCCTACTCCTCCCGTTTTTCCCTCCACATTTACAATCACGCGCTTGGAGTATTTGGTTGCTATAAATGTCCACGTGATAAGCTACTTCATTGAGCTATCATTTGTGGCCTGGCCGCTTGTTAAAAAGCGCTACATAGCTCAGCAAGCCTTATGCGGTCAAATAAAACAGAGTTTAGTTTCGTCGTGTTTAAGAGACGCAGAGCCGTTTTGGCTCTGCGTCTCCCTTGGGGCACCACCGCCCCACCAACCCCATGAGCTGCCAGCGATATCAACTCCACGTCGCCGCGCCAACATCACCCGCCTTGCCACGCCATCACCGCGTGACGCCGGTGCCGTCTGCCCGCGCGTGTGTGCGACGCGTCACGTGTGCGCAGGCGAGGAGCGGATTGGCGTGAACGCGACGTACGAGCAGGAGGGCAAGGTGCAGTTCGTGATCGACGCGGTGTACTCGATGGCGCACGCACTGCACAGCATGCACCTGGATCTGTGCCCCGAGTACGTGGGGCTGTGCCCACGCATGGACCCCGTCAACGGGCGCGAGCTGCTCAACTACATCCGCAGGGTCAACTTCACCGGTGAGTCGTCGAACGTCGGCCATCACCGACCCACGCGGGGGGGGGGGGGGGGAATGCCTCTTACCAAGCCGCCTTCGCCTCCTCTCTCGTCAGCCGGCCGCGCACTTTTACAACGAGCAAGCACGTGCGCACGGGCCTCGGCTGGTGAAATAAGATTTTTTTTTTATTTAGTTGAATTTTCACCGGCTTCGTCACTCCATCTCCCCGATTCGCAAGTTCAGAAGTTCCCTTCCCCATCGAGTGCAGCCCGTTGAGCCGAGAAGCTCCTTCTTCAAGGCCCACTCGGCCGGCAGAAAACATCAAAGCATTCGACAATTTTGCAGATTGAATAATAAATAAATAAATGCAAATAGCAGAAATTCCGTTGCAAAGTTACACTCACACGCAAAACAAAGCGATTTTTTTTTATATCTAATAGAGTCCGTTTAAATGAGGACAGAGATGGTAAGAATGGAGATGCCAGGAGATAAAACTGAGGTGGTTCCAAAACCTTTTGGGGCAGCCACGTTCAATTCCCTCGATCCAAATTGCGTGCGAAATCTGGGGAACTGTTAGCAGACAATCAGACGCGAAGTGCGGATCATATCCTCTTGGGCGTGCTTCATTCCGTGGCTGCCACTCCGTTATTGTCCTTGCCCCGTCACGCATCCCACGCCGTCCTTCCCAAGCACCCACTCGCTTTTCTTAACGGTGCGGATGATGCCATGAACCTGTGTGTGTGTGTGCGTTCTCTCATCCACGTGTTCCTCGCGCTAAAGCCCGTTTTTTCGCCACGCTCACCCGGTCCACTTTTCACTTGTGAGTTTTGTATGATTCATCATTGACCTCGCTCTTTCTGAAGCACGTGTCGTAGCAAGTATTATGCACTTACTGAGCACTTAATTCGCAATGCAGCGCTGATTTGCACATTTAGACAGTCAGACAATGTTCCTCCTTCACATGTCTGTCCCTCCAACCGGTATTTTCCATCAGCCACATTCTCCTGCTCCTCTGATTTCTATTTTCTTAATCACTGTCGGCCTACTAGTTTTCACGCTATTGACTTTTTGCAATCTTGGTGATGTAGGTCAAGTGAAGTATCCGAGGAGCAGGAGAATGGTAGGCAATATTTAGCAGACAAAAAACATTAAATATGTATAATATTCGTTTTGGGGTCCGATTTTAAAAGCCTGGAATTTCAGGACTGCCTCCCTTTCTCGCCTCATCTGGGCAGCTTTTAGACCCGCCTCTCCCGCGGTCAATCTTGCCCATGGGGCTCATTCCTTGTCACTTGAGCTCTCAGCTGGTTGAACAAAAGAGACTTGAAACGTCTGGAGTGGAGTGCGTCACGTGCGGTCCAACACAACACAACTCTGATCGTTGCATGCGGAGGCTATCATGAAGATAATCTTTTGGGTTGGATCGTCATGTTAATATGATTCAGATTTTTTTTTTACTCAAACCCTTAACCACCCGACATGAGCCAATTAGTGAGGGTTTTGTCACGTGAACAACGAGCAAATGTATTACTACTTCAGCACCACCGGTGTGATGGAGAGTAAATCCACCACATCGGGAGTGAGCTGTCCAACACCCCGGGGGTGCTGAAACAATAACTCATTGGCACGTTCTGTTCACGTCACTAACATTACTCATTAGCTGCGTCGGGTGGAGGTGGGTTCGTACGAGACATTGAGATTTTTAGGGATATCATTGGAGCTGTGCACTTTTACATCTAAATTGAAAAGAATTTCTTCAGAACAGCTTTTTGTGTTTAGTTTGTTGTCCTTCCCCTGCCCCCCACGCACCTCCGATTAGCGCGGTTGGATATGTACGGTGCGAAAGAAGGTCAACGTACATGCGTACATTTAAGCAACCTTTCACCCAAAAAACATTTTATATCATGAACAATCATATCCAGTTGTCACGTGGGCAAATATGCAAAGTTGATTGCTTTGCAAAATCTTGTGGCGTATCCTGTGAGTGACGCGTGCCGATGGATGGTTGCCCTGTGCCACGTGCGTTGTCCACAATCGGAGAGTTCCATCGAACTCCGGCTGGCAACAGACTCTTTCACATTATCGACCTGGTCTGGATTGCCTCATAAGCAACATGGAGAGATGGTACAGAAGCAGGCGATGGTATTTTTCAAGTTTGAAATGTAATTTTGTGGGAGCCAAACTTTTGTTGCAGGGATTTTTGTTGTTGTTTTAAAATTGATTTATGTTCGTGGATTATTTTGCATTTCTCCCGCAAAGCAGTTGTTGTGTTTTTTTTTTCTCTCTCACTCTCTCGTTTCTACTTTGCTTCACTGCTGTACTCGATTGATAGTTGTCATTTCGGTGACCCAGCTTGGTCACTCTCGCAAAAAACGACACCCATCCCTGCCATCTTGACTTCTCGCCCGGCTAAACAAACTCAATTTTATTTTTTACCTAGGTGACTTTACCGAAAAAAACTTAAGAGTACAATTTGGGAACCGCATCACTCGAATGGTTAAAGGCGTAGCCCCCCGATTGCATTGCTCTCTCCGCTGCAGTTCCTGATGGAAGCGCTCCTACGAGGAGGCGTTCTGGGGATCCCCTCTTTGATTTGGACGCCACCACAGCCTCTCTCTTCGTGACTAAGCCTTGCTCGTGAAATGTCACCGTGCAAAACCCCCGCGTGTCACCCCTCTCGTGACCTGCCCATCAATAAAATGATGGGGGTCAATCTTTGACCTGCATGTGGGTGGAACAGTCGATACGTAACTCCACGTGCTAACTTGATGCCTGAGAGTAATTCACTTTTCTTATATGTATATATAAATGTATATACATGTGTGTGTATATATGAAAAGTAAAACAAGGTAAAGGTGCAACCCTACAATTGCTTGCTCACACCACTGTTGGCGGATGAACCTCCACTAGAGGACACTCTAGAAAGCCCCTCTAGAGGGTGATTTGGCCTACTCTTCCACACTGGTCAGATACCTCGGGAGACGCGTGAGTTTCCACGCTTTAACCCACCACACGTGACCTGCCGATGGACTAACTGTTGTGTGCCCGTTTATCCTGCAAACCGTGACACGACTGCGGTGCTCTAACTATTATTATTAATATTCACACTGCAATTTCTCCCTGTGTTAGTCAGTTTGTCAGTCAAAGTACTCACTTGAGTATAGGCCACAAACCACCACTTGTTATGATGACTGCGATGATGATGATGATTTTAGTGGTGGTGGTGGTGGTGGGAGCCCGGGCCGCGTCTCTTCCCACTAATGATCGTCCCACGACCCGGGCTCCCTTGTAATTCAAGCACCGTTTATCATCAGGGCTTCCCGAATGTATCCATTAAGATAAAAACAACAACAAGCAAAAGCTCTTCGCGACGCCTCGGTATTACGGACTGCATGGCGCCGTCAAAGTCAAATGTCCTCTTCAGACAAATCAGGTGAGACACGCGCATCTCCCGCTCGCAGGCCCGAGCCACTGCTGACCATTCCACATTCGTATGGCAAGGGCATGGCGAATCACTGGACAGTCAACTCACCTTTCTCCAACATAATGATTTGTCATTTTAGTCACCCCAGAGGAATGACGATGAACAGAATCTCGCGACCTTGAGATTGCAAGTTTGGACGCGCTGGGTGAGAGAAGTGCTTCTGACTGAAATGTCTTATTCCACGCCCGCAGTATCGTCAGTGGTTAAAATCGTAGTTTAATTTCGACCGGAGCTGTCCGGGGCTGAGCTATGGAAAATAGATCCGCCCCCCCCCCACCCCCCCACCCTTGCCTCAACGCTTTCGTGGTGTCAAGCTGAGGGGCCTCCCCACCAAAATAATGCCGCGAGAAATTAAGCGTCGGTTTAACGCCTTCAAATTTGCCTCTATCGCCGCGTTGCTGATGCAATTTCCCATCCATGCTGCCGCGTAGGTCTGTGCCTTTGCTCGCGAGATTAATTAGCGATATGCCGAAACATGAATTCAGCTTCACTCTTACGTGTGGAATAAGGTGCCTTTTGTTCGCCGATGGTGTATTTTCACTTCCCATTTACAAGTCTCCTGGTGAGAGTTGAGGATCCTTAACAGGTATGATGATTATACCTCACTGCGCCGATACGTGTGCTCATTCTGGTTACAAGGTCTACTTCAGTTTGAGCTGTGGAGGGATAAAGGCTGGCATAAATCCAAGGAATAAGATCCCCACGCGTAGCCTGAACAGACTTTTGGCCGCTACGATGTGCAAAGAGGAGGATGGCGAGCACCACGCCCGGCCGCCTCTGTCTCCCCAGTGGCGATGTTTACACACCGCACCAGGATTCAGGTAACCGTCACTTGGTGTTGGTGACCTGAGCCGGAATAGAACTCGGGTCGCTGGCTTCGTAGTGCAGCCTGCCCGGTGCCGAGGCACAGAAGGTCAAAACCGGTCCCAGACTTTGCTCGCTTAGACAGTTGCTGATTGATCGTATTGGTTTAAAAAGCCACTTGGGTCGATTTGTTAAAATACACATTTACTTACATGTGGAGACAATGAGCGAATTTATTGTTATCCAGTAGAACCTGCTTGAAGGTCACAGTGTTACACAGCAGATGCCAAGTTCTCCGTGTGTTCATTCTTGTGAGGGTGCTTACACAGTCCCAGACCCTTAATCTGTGCACGAGGCGAGCTTCGTTTGCACGAATGTGCACGGCTCTGCCATGCACCGCTCAGCTTGTATCCTCCTCGCTCTCAGCCTCAACGGACCCGCTGTGCGTACGTACGTTGAACTTCTTTCACACCGTACGTAGCCAACCGTGCCAATCGGCGGCGCTGAACTTTGCTCGAATTTGGCGCGGGAGAAACCTACTCCGGAGTAGCCTGGGACATCAGTTAGAGACACGGACATTTTACTTAAACTCTCCAAGAAATCGACGAGGCACGCGAAATCCCATTGGCTCAGCGGTGTTCCAGTCCGATAGCCGGGGCCGGCCGGCAATTGCGGAACAATGCGGAGGAAAGTTGAGTCGGCGTGCAACTCAAACATCCACGCACGCAGGGCTCTGTCTGATGGCTTTTCACAGCGAGATCCCCGCTCTCCTCTTGGTGACTTTCTCCAGGCCTAGACCTCTCACCTCAATGTTTACCCGTCGTTGCCCCATCCTTTCTCTCCTCCCCCCGCCCCCTTTTTAATCTCCATATTTTCTTCCCTGCGATCGCTTTCTCATGCTCCTCGATCGCCCCCGAGATCAGTGCCTCTCGAACTTGCTTCCCTCCACGGCGCTCACGCTTTGGGGAGGGGGGGCCTGATTCATCTTCGCTGCCGCACCAAACGCCGACTTGCGCACTGCGTGCCCGGCTGGCTGGGTGGGTGGTGGATGCGTCGTCGTCGTTGTTATAGCTGAGAGGGAATTCACAATCTTCGTGCCTCTTCTGATCTCACCTAGAACAACAACATCTCGTAGCGCTGCCACAGACCGTGACAAGAAGTTGCCCAGGTGTGCGAGTGTCTTCGTGTGTCTCCGTGTGTGGGTCTCCATGTCTCTGTGTGTCTCCGTGTCTGTGTGTGTCTCTGCGTGTGTCTGCGTGTACGTGTGTGTGTGTATGTCTCTCCATATGTCTCTGTGTCTTTGTGTGTCTCCATGTCTCTGTGTGTCTCTGCGTGTGTCTGCGTGTATGTGTCTGTATGTCTCTCCATCTTTCTCTGTGTCTTTGTGTGTCTCCATGTCTCTGTGTGTCTCTGCGTGTGTCTGCGTGTATGTGTGTGTGTCTCTCCATATGTCTCTGTGTCTTTGTGTGTCTCCATGTCTCTGTGTGTCTCTGCGTGTGTCTGCGTGTATGTGTGTGTATGTATCTCCATATGTCTCTGTGTGTCTCCGTGTCTGTGTGTGTCTCGGCGTGTGTCTGCGTGTATGTGTGTGTGTCTCTCCATATGTCTCTGTGTCTTTGTGTGTCTCCATGTCTCTGTGTGTTTCTGCGTGTGTCTGCGTGTATGTGTGTGTGTCTCTCCATCTCTCTCCGTGTCGTTATGTGTGTCCATATCTGTGTGTCTCTTCTTGTTTCTGTCCGTGTCTCCGTATCCCTGTGATTTTCTGCGTGTGTCTGTGTGTCTCTGTGTATTTATCTCCGTGTCTGTATGTGTTTCTGCGTGTGCGTGCGTGTGCGTGACATTTCACCACTCACGGAGAAGCAAAGCAGACTTCTGTGCATCACGCAAGAAGAGTTGTTTTTCTAGGAAACCATCGCCACATTAACAAGCATATTGCACGCAAACAGTTCGTGTGCAGACGATGCTGTCTATGACAACCGTGAACGAACATCCTCCCCCCACACACAGCTACGATAATTTGGCACGCAGCCCACACGTGTCAAATCTTTGTTATGCCTACTTGATATCACACGGCTCTGGGTAAATTACTTTCGTGTTAGAACTCGCCATTTAGGCATCAACATTCGTTAAAAATAAAACACTGTTGGATGAAGGCTGCCGCATACATTGTGTTCGTCTGTCGTGTTTCTTTTACATACTTCACCTCGCTGGTCATGGTGGGGTTGGCGAAGGGGAGGGAAGGCCCCAGGACTGGTTCAGCTATCACTCGCAAACTGAACCTAGCACTGACCACGAATCGGTCTCAAGATGTATGGTGTATGTACTTTGGACTTCTTTCGCACCGTACGTAGCCAACCGTGCTGATAGCTTGCTGACCTCGTCAAGGAGCATGAAGCAATCAAGACAACTCCGGTCAGCCTCACAGCAACAGCAGCTTCTGTCTGGCCATCGAACAAAGACGGTCACCGCAGATGCGCTTCTGCGGCAGTCTGGAACGCTCTCCCTTTCGATATTAGGAAGCCGCTGGGAGCTATGCACTTTCTAATTCGAGATTGAAAACTCATTTTTTTTAGGAACTGATTTTTTGCGTTTAGTTCGTTGTCTTTCCCCCGCACCTCCGATTAGCATGATCGGCCACGTACTGTGCGAAAGAAGTTTAACACAAATACGTGAAGCGCTGACATGGGGAATTCATGCGTGCGGAACACAGCTTTGATCGTAATCGCGCGATCGCAATTACAATTGCATAACCGTCATTGTAACATCACTCGCATCTACGTGATCACCGACCGTGGCACTTGCACGGCTGTCGTTCGAGTCTCGGCGGCTCACAGATGGGACATTAACGCAGCAGAAATGGAGACGTTTAAAGCGCAGCTTTGAATCGAATGTGTGGGGCCGCAACTCCAGCGGAGCCGCGTGCGATCTCCCGGAGTGGATCGGCCTCACCGCCCGTTGCAGCCGGAGCGCGCTGCTCGGTGCGTATTGACTTTGGATGCGATCTTTGATATCTCGTTTGGATCCATGAGTCTCGTTGTGATGATAGACAGTTGCAGTGTAGAGCCCCCTGGGCTGTCATCGCAGATAAGGGAATTCTAAGATACAGCGATGGCACGGTCGTACAAATTTTCTGGATAAATTCATCCTCCGCTATTTGGATTTCACGAATGAAATATTAATTCACAAGATTACGTTTTCCACTCATAGTTTTAGGATGAGCCTTTAGATCAACATCCTTAGGTTGTGATGGTATTAGTGTCTAAAGATAGTGGCTTTACTGTATCCAGTCGTTTTATTGAGCCCAATGTTGCACGCTTTCTTTTGTTACTCATTTCATTATAAACCAATAATATATAATAACGCAA